TATTTTACCTAAAATTCATTTTTATCTCATATGATTTATTTTAATTTAAAATAAAATAATTATATATTAAATATTTTTTATGTCATTTTAATTTATCAGTTAGTTGAACCATTAATTTTATCAAATATTTCAATTAATTTATTAGTTATAATTCATCAGCCATCAGCTATAAATTATAAGTTATAAGTTATCAATCATAAGCTATAAGTTATCAGCTAGCTTATCAGTCAATCACTATTTTTATCAAACAGAGCCTTAATAATTTTATACCCGTTAAGAAAATGAATAAATAAATTTATAAAGGGGAATAGTCATTCACACTTCGAATGAATGCATCGCGTCCTACATCTCTCAAAATTCAAAAATATTCTTAACAGACCTCGTATTTTAGCAAACTCTCTCATTTTTATCAAAATCTATTCTAGAGATGCATCTTCGTATATTTTTTGGAATGATTTCAGAGATGTATCTCCATAAAATCTCATGTACTCATTTATGATATTTTTATTCATTCGGTTTGTTTATTTAACTGCTCGGAGACAATTTCGAGATGCATATATGAAAATGTCAAGCAAAAAATTTAATAAAACACCATCTTGCATATTTCTTCCTCATGATGAAAATCAACTCCACTCTTAAAATTCTTTAAAAAATTTCTTCTATTCTCAATCAATTTTTCAACACCAAAATATCATTCATGTATTTTATCACATTAAAAGGACTAAAAGAAGCTGAAATTTAAGATAAAATACATTCATTTCATTCCTCATTCCTTGCATTAATCTTGTGTTTTGAGCTGAAAAAAGAACGTTGAGTCCGGATATACATCTCCGAACTAAGTTTCATATGTTTCGAAGATCCATCTCCGGATTTGCCTAGTACTTCGAGTTTTTAATCTATTTTTCTGTTATGATTCGTATTATATATGGTGCACCCGTATATGTTTCCCAAAGTTACTCTGAGGATGAATGTTAAATCGGATGAAGTGAAAGGTGGTGTTAAATCGGATAAAGTGAAGAATGATGTTAAACCGGATACTTGTTCGGGGTGTCTTATACCAAAGACATCGCCAGAATGGATGGCACATTTCATAAAAGAGGCTGAGACTTGGTCAAATCACTTTATGGAAAGAATGGAAGAATTCACTAAATTGAACCGCATTTAAAGAGAATCAAATAAGGAAAGGTCAAAGAAGAAATTATCAGTAGATATAGATTTAGGTGGTGTCACCTATTTTGATGCATTTTAGTTGCATCTAACAATATAACTCATTTTTTGTATATAATATTGTCAATGATGTAATCTCGGTATAATTTGAGACATACGTAATGTTATAGAATTTAGGGGTAATTTTTAGACATTTTTCTGTTTCAAAAGTTAGCCTTGCATATATATTGGTTATGTATGAATTGTGTTATATGGGGTGAGTTTAGATATACATCTCTAAACACACCTCATTTTAAGTGTAAAAACAAGTAAACATGAGATTTAATAAATGTGCATCTCAATAAAAATCTTTATTTTATAAAAAATATGGCATGCCCGATTATGCATATCTAAAATATTCTCTCATAACATGATATTGTTTCTAAGACCTAAAATAATATAAAACTTGTATAAATAACAGGTTTCTCATCCTATATAAAAAACACAACACGGCGGAATAAAAACATATCTTCATCTTACATTCAATTAGTGATTCATAGTAGCTCTTTTAATATGAAAATTGAAAATTTTATTCTTTTAAAAAATATAATGTTGAGCCTAAAAGAAAAACAAATTATGTCCTTTATTCTGGATTAAAGGACACACATTCTATGTTAGGTTATGAATAAGTTGGAGCGAGGATAAGCTTTATTATAAAATATGGTTAAAAAGAGCAGTGATGTATCAACCATATTGATGAAATTGAAAAGAAAAAAACAATAAGAAAAAGAAAAAGAAAGAATGTAAAGAAGAAGAAAACGCATAAAAAAAAAAAGGAAAATTTTGTGGTAACCGAATGATATTGAATTGAAAAGAAAAAAGAGTGTGAATGAAATAGATTTTGAAGAATAATTGTTCCCTTAAAACCTAAGGCCTTTTGAATTCCCATAATTGTTTTTTTTTTCTGAGTCTAGCCATGTTAAAGACTTGTTTGCAATAATATAGATGAAAATCAACTTGGTTTGAAGTGAAATACTATGCACGGTTTGAGTGAAACCCTCACCCATATTAAGTGATACACTTGTGAGAAAGTGATGATGTTTAGTGATTGTTGATTGGATCCTTTGAAGAAGAAACTTACTCATAGATATGAATAGTTTCAATAATTCTATTTGATTATCTTGAATTAGTTACTTATTGATTATCTGGAATTAGTTACTGATAATCCATACAAGTATGAAAACAATTTTGAATTATGTTTAATTGGAAATCCTAGTTTCAAGATTGCATACTGATGATTTGAACACCATGTATATGTTTTATTTTACTTTTGTTTGAGAGAAAAAAATAGTAAATTATGGAGAGTTGATAATTGTGTAACTTATCTACTTCTTATTGTTGATTTCACACATTTATTCACTTACTTGTACACAAAGTACACAAAAACCTCATAATTTGTATGTAGAATGAATATTGTCCTACAATTGTAAATTGAACCGAATTTATTCGATGTACGAGAACCCTTTGACCAACAAATATGAGATAAAAAATTTACCTTGCAAAATACGGAAAATACATTAGAAGAATTATATAAATTTTCCAACGAATTTAAGGCGATTCATGAGGTTTCTTTGATATGCAGAAAATTAAAATGCTCAATTCTTTTAGGGTCCATTTGGTTTAAATGATGGGGAGGGGATGAGAGGGATTTTAATAAAGGAAAGGGGAGGAAAAGAGAGAGGTTTTTTTAAAATTAAGTATATGTTTGGTTCAAAAGAGGGAAGGGAAGGAATTTTGATTAAAAATATATTTGGTTTAAGAGAGGAGGAGAGAAATTTTATTAATAATTTATATTGTATTCTTATGATTTTATATAATTAATATGATATTCAAAGATGGAAATTTCATAAATATTTTATTGAAAATAATATTTGTCATATTGAGTGATTAAAAAGTCATAACTTACTACACAACATTAAAAAAATTGAGTACATTTGATTCATATTATAACTCTCGACATAAAATAAATTATGTGTTGATAACAACTTTTGAATACATAAAATAAATTATTATTAAATATCATATATATTACAATATAATAAAAAATAAATAGTTTAAAATTTAGATAAAAGCATATAATAAAATACATAACTGAATTAGAAAAAAACTAACATATCACTACGCCAAAAATGATTTTTTGTATCACCTAATTTAATAGCACTTTTAAAAAAAATGCTATTAAAATGGAAAAAATACATTTATAATAGCACTTTTTAATCGGGCGCTATTATATAATACAGACTATGTAATTTTGATAGCACTTTGTACCAGAACGCTATTATTAAACTTCTTTAAGATAGCATTTTGTATAAAACGCTATTATTTGACTACCTATATAATAGCATTTATTAAAAAGCGCTATGTTATATATATAATATTAAAAAAACCTTAAACTATATTTATATAAAAAATGAATGAACTAAGATCAAAGTTAACATTTCTTTAGCAGCAGCATTGAGTTAACTCAAAACCATAAAGAAACAAAAATTTCAAGGATTTGAGTCAGTTGGCAATACAAAGCCTGAGCTGAAGTAAAGAGGAAGGGAAAAAAATGACAGAAGCAAACAACCTGAGAGACGCCCGGAGAAGAAGAAGAATCCTCCAACAAGGATCCGACCGTCTTGCCTTCATCCAGGGTCGGATCCAAACCCTCCCTCCTCCCGGTAACTACCTCTTCTCTTCTCTTTCATTTCAATTTTCTCTCTTCTTATTGCTTCTGTAATCATCCATCTACAAACCCTAGAATTCAATTTTGATTTTACAACTGCTTTTCTTCAGATCTGCCTCACGCCAACGACGAGGAGCAGGAGTATCCGAATTCCGTTTTGCAGAATCACGTTGATGCCGAAATTTTGCCTGAAAAACAACACAGTGAAAGTGAGATTTTAAGTTTCCCCAATTCTGAAATTGAACCTGAATATGTACAAGAATCACAACCTCTATTTCAACCTCAATCACCAACAACACATCAAGATTCATCTGATGAAATTTCCCAGCTCGAAGAACCTAGAAGTTTCGATTTCATAAGCCCTAGGGATGTGACGAATGCCGTTGATGCCTCAAGGTTTACGCGTCTTTGTTGTTCGATTATAGTTGCCTTATTGGTTGTTGCCTCTTGTCTAGGATTCTCTTTGATTAAGACTATTATAAGCTTTAGACCACTTTACTTGGTTCTCCTCACAAATTCGTCTTTTGTTGTTGCGAAAATTATTTCTGGGAAACAAAGAGGCTCTGATGAAAGGTTGAGGAGGAGACGGAACAGCGCCAGTGCCAGCGCCAGCGCTGATTCTTGTGATCAATATGCACAGCTTGCAAAAACATTGGAAATTGGAATGGTGTTGAAGACTGTGGTTGATGCTGTCTTTATGGATTGTGTTGTCTATGCTATTGTGCTCATATGCAGCCTTTCCCTTGTGCATCACTGATATTACTTAGAGAGCATAGGAAGTGTCACAAAGAGGTATTTCTTGATACACCTACATAAGATTGCAAATTTGTTTTTGATAAAAATGAATTAAGTGATTGAATTACGAAAAACTTATATGATTTAGATGTGTTTAAAGATGCATATTCAAACAAAATAGGAGAACATTCTAAGGGATGAAAAGAGTAGTCGAGATATTGTAATTCAATAGAGTTATATTGATAAAATTAGATAAATTGGTTGAATGGATATCACAAAAATGTTAAAGATAAATAACATCATCGGAGATCCTCTAATGACATTCTTTATTATTTTTTGGGACAGAACTAGAGAGAAACCATAAAATTCAATACAGAATGCAAGAATAAAGATGATGTCGGTTACGGGGTGGTTTCCTGCTTATGTTAAATTTGCCCCTGAACTTGATAGGTTGGCGGCGAAACCCTTTTACAACCAAAGAAACACAAATTGTTCACCACAACTGTCCTTCCAACGCAACAGTTTGAAGAGATGCTATTGCAAAAAGAAAGAGCAAGACACACAGTTTTTATCAGATAGTCCATGGGATAGTGGGGATGTATGGGCCAATCTTGCTCTCTATCTTTTCACTCTTCATATTCCTCTCAGTTTTGGAGGCTTATCCGTTGTTTCATTGCTCACAGGACAACAGCCTCTTCTTCACCCACAAACTCAGGTAGGTGTGCAATGGAGCCTTTTTCATGCTGTTTTTTTAATTTTGATAAGATATTTTCATTCATTGATGCAGGCCATATCACTTGTTACCATCCAAGTTCTTGAGTTTAATGCAGCTCTGGTTTTATTCAAGTACACAGCTAAGCCACAATATAAATTTTCAAATTTCTTCAAAAATAACGCCAGGAACTGGTTTTTTTCATCAGCTCTTGGATTTGGGTTTCTTGTTCTTCTCATTTGTTTAACATCGCTACTTGGTGACAGATTATTTGACTTTAAGGTTCGTCATTATACATATATATCTTTTCTGCAATTCCATTTCATCTTTATCAAAAAAGAAGCAAAGATGATATATGTTGTAATTCTCCTCCAATTATCACTTATTGAGGTGGTGCTGCCAGGTGTTTTAGAAGTGGGATATTGTACACCAAGGATTTGTAAATATGGTGAAGATCTAGCTGTTAGCACACAGTAGAATTGTTAGGTAGAACATCTTTTGACCCTAGGCCACAAACCAACAGGGTAAAGAATTTGTGAATTGTGATGACAATCGCTTAGTCTTATTGCTAGAGTTTAGAACTTCCTTAGTAGAACGGTACGTAGCACCAACGGGGTAAAGAATTTGTGAATTGTGATGATAACCGCTTAGACTTATTGCTAGAGTTTAGAACTTCCTTGGTAGAACGGTACGTATCACCCTTTAACTTGTAGTTAGTTCAACCAGAAAGAAAGAAAACAGTTTCAAGGAGACAAATAAGCTGAACATCGAATAGGTTTAATCTGGAATGTTACAACTCTTTTGACAGTGAAAGGAAAAATACTACCATCCACTAGAATCATGGCCTATGGCAAATGCCTTCTATACATGATTGTGAGTAGTTTTGTTGCAACAAGGCCATTTAGTTGCTTTTCTTAGCCACACATTATTATAACCATTGTTATGGTTACAAAAGGAACTATTTATTTTGGAGCTATCTTATTACCCTCGGCGATCAAAAGAGTTTGCGGTTTTTGACAGATAAAAGAGTCAGGGGTGAAGATTAATTCAAATGAATATCTAAATTGATGAGAATGGACTTTGAATTTGGTATAAACCAGGAAATGACAATAAGGAAAATGATGTTTTATCCAGGCATATGACTTATGCATCCATGTCTATATACTTAGATGAGTGGGAAAAAGGAGTTCAATCAAACACCAAAATGAATGTTATTATGCCAGATCTGATCTGAGATTTCCCTTCACATCTAAGTCCTTCCTTCTCCTTTTTTAGCGCTTCATCGTAAATACAAGTCATGTTTTTTAGCCCGTAAGAAGGAAGTTGTTTAAAGCTTACATATTGATCTTATTATCACCAACCTATATGAGGTTATAAATTGGCTATGAAGTAGTTTTGTGCTTCCATGCTTGATATTGTGAAAACTACTATGTCAAACACCACTTATTCCAACCAACAAGGTTTTAAATTGCCTATAAAGTAGTTTTGTGTTGCTATTGTTGGTATTGTGAAAAATTGATGTCAAATACCACTCATTCCGAGGAGTTAAGTCATGTTTCATGCCTTGGTACTGCAAGAGTTTGATCAAATACAGTTGGTGCAGGCTCAACTGTAGTTGCATTATAGTTGCAGAGAGATAGAAATCCTCGACTTTGTAGTTTAGATTCCCGTCCTAGACTTTTATTAAAATCTTAGAAGATGCGGCTACAGTTGCACTTGCTGTTGCAGAGACATGGAAACTTGATATAACTGCCGCAGTTGTAGTTGCGGATAAGTTTTGGATCCTTTGGGAACATACCTTGTTAATATATCATTATTGATATTGTTATTTAGTAAGCTCTTATTGATAAATATTTGACTGGAACAGATATATAGCTCCTCAGCAAGTGCCAGTTCAATATGGAGGACTTAGCAGAGAGGGTGAACAGGAATTCACCACTGCTGACCCTGCTACAGAGGTTATTATCAAACCAGCAACAAAACATGCTGTTGAGTTCCCAATTTCTGAGGTGAGAATAAAAACTTGTTTCATAACCAAAACCAATCTTATCATGGTTTTGGTTTTGGTTTTAAATTGTGGTTACGTATATGCTGTGACCCTTTATACCGCAATTACTGTTGTGAACTGCAATTTAAAACCATGATCTTATGTGCATATTTAGTATTAGTATCTTAACTGAATCTGAATGATTGAATGAGCAGAAAAGCACCTTGGTATGGGAAATCAGAGTGGTGGACTGGAATGTGAGCTATGGAGCAGAATTTGTGCCTAGTGCTGAAGATGGATACACAGTGATAGTACAGAAAAACAGGAAAATCTCGCCAGCTGATGAAACAGTAATCAATAACACCTTCAAAATCGGTGAACCTGGCAAAGTTGTACTCACCATTGATAACCAAACATCAAAGAAAAAGAAGCTTCTTTACAGGTCCAAGACCATACCCATCTCTGAGTAAAAACGGCTTCAAAGAAAAAAGTCTGAATTCTTCATTAACAAAGAGAATGATGATGCCAAGGTGAAGAAGAATACTAAGGGTGTTGTTTTGTATTCATTATAAGGATTATAACACTGTTGTGAAAGTTATTGGGTGGGTTACTTATATTCTTTTATATAGGGTTATTTTGTTCATTTGGGTTGTAAATTATTTTTGTTTCATGTATGGGGTTTGGGAAATTTTATTTACAGTTATTATTACTTATTAATATCTTCAATAGTAATGTGGTGTTTTCTTCTTTTGAATTTGAATTTGTTTGTTATGGACTCAATTGGGGTTCCTTTATAAAAGAAATTTTCATTGTTTTTGTTTATAATTTATTTAATGTATTAGTTTTGTTTGGTTCCCACCTGTTTGTTTTCTGTTTTCTTGGAGGTTTTGGGGTATGTTCTAGGGACATATTACCACGCCAAAATCGCCCCACACAAATGGATTTTGAAAAATTGTATGGCTTTTGATAGCACTTTAATTAAAACGCTATTATAAATTGGTACTTTAATAGCGCTTTTAAAGTGCTATTAAATAAGAAATATTTACAATAGTGGCGCGGTTAATAGCACTTTTAAGCGCTATCAAAAATAAAAAAAAGCGTTATTAAATAGTTTATTTGGCGTAGTGTATATAAAAATAAAAATAAATATTATAGAAAAATTATAGTGATTATAATTTATATTAAATAAAAAATAATTTGAATGAAGAATAACTATAATAAATTGATGGAAGTAATGGAAAAAAATCACAAAAAAAAGAAACATGAATACGATAGAAAATAATTATCATGAAATGCTAAAATAAAATCGATGATATTATTTTAAATATATTAATTTATTAAATATCAAAACTCATTTTTCCTACCGGTCTCTCTAAATCCCTCCGATTTGAAGGAATACAAAAAGTGTAATTTAGGGATTTTGCCCCCTTCTCCTCTTCTCCATTCCTAAAAATTGAACCAAACACATTTTATTAGAAACATTTCATCTCCTCCCCTCTTCCCCCCTCCATCTACCTCAAACCAAATACACCTTCAACGAATGAAGACAAATTCAAAATTCTATAAATAAAGTATTTGGCTATCAATGGAGATCATCATGTAAATCTATTATCTATTATCTATTATCTATCTATTAAAAGTAAAGTACCTGGAAATTCCAAGTCTAACCTTTTGATTAGATGTTATAACTTTTCTTATTCTAAGGGTATAATAGACTAATCAACGCTATGCTGTTACCATATTCATTTGGCATTTAATTTTGCTGACATGTCAATCTATCATAATTTTACACTATTTTTTATTTATTTGATTTATTAATTTATTTTATTTATATTTGAATTTTATTTATATTTGAATTCCAATTCCAATGTTTCATTCACGGTTAATTTATTTATATTTGAATTCCAATGTTTTTTTTGACAGAATTTGAATTCTAATGTTTGACCCACGGTTAATGAGGAAGGAATTGGAATGACCAAATTAGATCTATTATAATTAAATGGAATATTATTCATTGCATGATTTAAAAATACCCACTATTTATCATTATATTTTCAAAAGGTTGCTTATTATTTTCCAATTCTTCTTCATTCTCATATTTTGATTCTCTGTGTCCATTTTAATACAGATTTTGTAACAGGTCTAAATAGTAACATCAATGGCGCGACCGATTGAAGCTGTGAAAGACATCAACGACTCAAACATTTAATTTTGCTGACATGTCAATATATCATAATTTTACACTATTTTTTATTTATTTGATTTATTAATTTATTTTATTTATATTTGAATTTTATTTATATTTGAATTCCAATTCCAATGTTTCATTCACGGTTAATTTATTTATATTTGAATTCCAATTCCAATGTTTCATTCACGGTTTATTTATTTATATTTATTCCTCTCATTTGTTGTTTATGTTTTTTTAGATGCACTGTCTATTTTTTGTAAATTTAGAATACAATGAATCAGTTGTACAAAGTGTGTCTTAAATACAAATTAAAGAGAATGTATATATGATGAAGGTTCAAAAGGTCTGTCCCTTGGGAATATGGAAAAGTACATTTGAGTTTAAAATTTGAATTATTGCAATTATAAATTATGTGTTATGATTAATTGATAAAATAATTATGATTTATGATTATAAGTATCTTAAAATCATATAAATTATGATTAATGATTTATTGCAAAATGATAAAATAATTTTCAAAAAAATAAATATTCTAAAATGAGTAATGATTAACTTGAAATTAAATATATAAAGTGAATCATTAAAATCGATAAAATTTTCTATCATTTTAAAACAAATTTATTAAAAAATATTAGCAAAATTGTGATTTGTTTAAAATTTTAAGTAAGTATTATTATAGTTTAAATAATATTTGTTACTAAAATATATTAAAAATCATGTATTTTTATAAAATATTATTAAAAAGCATGTATTTTTAAGAAATGTTAATAAAAATCGTCTCATTTTTATTAATATTTCTTAAAATACTTTATTTTGAATATTTCTTAAGAAAATACTTTTGAAAGAAACTATTATACGTATGATAATTTTACAAAGAGTTAATTGATCAATTAATTCAATTAGATCATTTTCAAAAGATTAATCGATTCATTGAAATTCAATTAAATTGAATTAATGAAAATAAAATATATAATATTGATATAATTTTAAATAGCATTCAAAAAGTATTTTAAGAAAAAACTATATAATTTTGAATGCTATTGATATATTTTAAAATAATTTAGATTTTTATAAAAAGTTTAATAAAATAAAATAAAATTAATTGAAATTCTATAATTTTTTAAAACTTATTAAATAACTAAAATTTATGAAAATCTTTTCAATGGTAATCATGATAAAAAATATTAAATGGTAGTCATGAAAATTTAATGATAAATGGTAATCATAAAAAATTAATGATAAAAAGTAAAAATTTAATGATACAATTATTTCTATAAATGGAATAAGTTACAATTATTTTTATACAAGAGAATAACTTACAAATATTTTTATAAATGGACACACGAGTTCAATGTGTTTATAAACGCAAAGAAAGTTAGAATAACTTTATAAACGCGAATAAGTTACAAATATTTTTATAAATGATAAAAATTGAAGTATTAAAACAATTATTTTTAACATGAATAAATTAAATTTTACTTTATAAATTATCACACTGGTTCAAGTCCCTTATAAACGGGAAAAAATATATATGTTGATATAAATATTTTTATATACGGAAATAAGTTACAATAATTTTTTTAAACTAGAATAAGTTACAAATATTTTTATAAACGAAAAAAATTCAATTTATTATTCAATTATTATTATAAATCGGAATAAATTACAAATATTTTTTTATAAATAGACACACGAGTTCAATGCGCTTTCTATGTTTGTAACTATATAAATGTTAATTAACTAAATAAATATATACAAATTTGATAAATGAGAGTGAGAGACGTATAATGTGAATTCAGACGGTAACCGTATGATAGCACGAGTTTCTTACTATTTAATGTTGTTAATTTCATATTAATTTATAATACACCGGTTTTCTAAACGTCGTTTTTAAAGACTTTTCATTGCTATTTTCAGAATATACTATTTCAAATTATTCTATTTTTTTCTTATATATAATTAATGTTTTTTACTAATTCTAAATTATGACACTTAAATTACATTTTTGCTAACTCTATAGTTTTCTTCTATTAATTGTTTCTTATTCAATTCTTATATTATATAATTTAACAATAAAGACTTAATACTCTCTTAGTCAAATATATTAATCTAAGATTTCTTTTTTATTTGTCATTTTATTTCTCAATTTAATAGCCGTAGATTGTTCATCTTAATGAAGGACTTTACAGGCATAGATCCACAGGTAAATGTGAACGTATCTATAAATATCAACCGTAAACTATTCATTTTAATGTTCATCTTTTAAATCTTTCTTTTGCTACTGTTTTATATTAATTCGGTATAGAATTCATTTTTGACTAAATTGTAGAATCTTTTTAATAAAATCAAATTAACATTAAAGATTTAATACTCTTTTGGTCAAATATATTAATATAAGAGTTCTTTTTATTTCTTAATTTTAAAGTTGATGCATATTATTAGTCTATATTTGTAACTATGTGAATGTTAATCAACTAAAAAAATATATTCAAACTTGACAAATGAGATTTGACAACGTATAATGTGAATCTAGACGGGACCTTGTTAGAACAAAGTTTGAATCTACTACCCTATATTTAAGTTTTGATGATAACAAAGTGAAAAGATATATTATTTATGATATTCATATATGAACTATCTGCTGCCTAAAATTATTATGTTCTGACTTGCAGATACTCTGATTGATAAGCAAGATCACATCTAATCAGCATCAGAATTTGGTTTCAGACACCAGCATCAGAAGTTGCCATATCAGAATGACAGAATCAGATGATCAACTCACGTACATGCTGAAGCCTGATGAACAAGACTGCGCTCAACACTCTGATAAAGAAACACAACAATTCATCAGCAGCGAAGCAGAGTCAGAATGAGCCAAGCCAGAACTTGCATTAAGTAAGCAACGGTACTGTGCATTGAAAGCAAATTAATTCTAACGGCCTCATTCCAGACAAGATCTGCTCGATAAGGAAAGTTTGTTATTAGCATTGAATCAAGAATATTGCATCCAACGTTCATCATCTCAGTGCTATATAAACAAGACTTTGAAGATTGAAATGGCTAATGCTCTCCAAATCTCTACACGCACAAAAGCTAATCAAAATCTTCTTTCTCTCAGTTTTGCTAAACCACACATTCTGATATTCTATCATTGTTTAGCAATCTAGTTTCTAAGCTTCAATTTGTGTATACATCACAGTTGTGATACAGTTTTGTAGAAAACATTCACACACTTAGTTTTATCTCTTTGTAAGAAAGTGTTACCTTGACAAACCGGGT